ACTGTTGCGTACATTATACCGGCGTTAAAATGTATATGCTTATTTGATTCCCGAACGGTCCGATTCAAAGTACAAAACCTGCATGTTTTCCTCAGAGTATGCTCTAAACTTTGTAGGGTTTTCGTTAAGAAAATTCGCATCGATGAGTAAATGTGAATGGCCCATAGCGTCTAAAGTGTAAAGTCACCGAGGTAACAGATGAAGGTGAAATTTCTCTAAACTTTTCATTTCATTGTTTGCCCAAAATTACGATATTAATAGAGATCATGCTCTAGCAGATGAGGGTTCGGGAAGAGGGCACCGACTATATACGGAAGATGTGTGTTAAAGCAAAGGCTTTTTTTCGAAAAGTTGGACGGAAAACGAGGAATATCATTGTGACTTTGACAAAACTTTGTAACTGAGACTTGGCGGAACTAGAGGATCTGGATGACGGATGAAATTTACAAAGGCAACGCAAGCACCGAGGGTAGACTGAAGTTCTATGACCACCGAATATTAAGATAGAAGGAAACCTATCTTAAAAGAAATTATTGGGACAAGGAACTTGAAACGAACGGATACGTATGCGGTCGGTGGCCTACCTCAGAAAACCTTGACCGAAATGCTGAAATGCGTTTTCTCTTATAAAATATCAGTTAAATCGAACTGCGACATTGTTCAGCGTGCATCATAATACCAAAATCTTTCAGTCACCTAAGGATATTGGCATTGTAAAAAAACCATTTTCGTTAAAAAATAACTTCGCATAAGTATGACATTTTCCGTTAATTTTCATTGTTACTACAGATTTTAAGTGTATATTATAGTAACCATGCATAAGCTATGTTTTTCTTGTACTCGGTTGGCAGAAGGTGATAGTGTTCTTAACTTTCTTAGAAAATGTAACTTTCCATTTCAAAAGGTTTGTAAGGGTATCACAGATCAATAGGAAAATACATACTACTAATGTTACCATTTTTCTCGAATTGTATTTGCAGGCGGTGAAAAGGGAGCGTATTCAGGTGCCGGAATCTTGACATGCTTGAAATATTTTGGAATAGTATTACGGAATACTCAATACTACAATTTCGTCCAGAAAATGTCTTTTAAGAGAAAATAAATTTTCGAAGTTGGGTCATACTTTCATTAGTTATATAACCTATTCCGGGATTTGTAGTCGATGAGTACCTGCAACGGATAGGGTCGCTGTTCTCTCACTACCGGAACCGAATCTACATTTTTGTATGTGGACCATACCTTCTTTCTCACCACACGGGATCTGTGGTTGACATTCAAAGAACCAATCAATGGAGTTTTCATCTATAAGCAGTTGACGGTGCAGAAGGAAAAATGAACGTTTGTGCTAGCCTGACGCTCTTGTCTACCGCAACGATTGTGGAGGCCTTAAAGGTGAACAGAGTTGGACATGAGTATAAGTAGCTTGCCGTACCGTAAGTGGCCTTGAGCCAAATTTCTGGAAGTCTTCATTCTCGTGTGCCAACTTCAGCACTAACCCTAGCCCCAACTCTGAATCTAACACTAAGCCCCCTAATCCTAACCCAAACATCAACTCCAATCCAACCCCCCGCCCTGGAGTTTAGCACAAGGCCATCTGTAGTAGGGAGGTTACTTCTAGCCGTGCCCTACCCCCAAGTGTTGAAGGAAGCGACAAGTACAATACATATCATCCATCACCAGCCCTTCAATGGACCACGAGTGCAATTGCGTATGGGCATTGTAACGACGTATTGAGAAGCATTCGCCGAACTAG